TGGGCTTGTGCAGTCTGGCTTCTGTAAAGTTCCCCTTTAATTCAGTCAGTGCAGAAATTTCTCTCCTCCTGCTGGTGCAGAATGGCCGCTGTGCGTCTCCCAGGTGGAGTCAGTAGCAAATAAAAGTCCCCTCTTGTCTGGGAAGTGTTTCAGATCCTTTGCAATGACAAGCATTTATTTACACAACTTTGTCCATCCAAAAGGGTGGAAAGGTGTCCATCTTTTGCATAAAAAAAGACCCAACATTAAATACACATCCAAAACAATAGGCCTAGACATACAACAATATATATATATAAACACACACACCTCTTTCAGCACATATTACACTAATCCAATAGCTTCATATAGGAAACATTCACCTACCTAGCTGTGTTTAATATACAGATTTCCTGTATACATTATAATAAGGATTTGTGCCCTGAATAATAAGGAAGTTTCTATAGAACCTAAATGAACAGAAGACAAAGTAAAAAAAAAAAAACTTTATTTACATCTGTAATGCTTTATGAAAATACAGTTACAAGAGACATCATTTTTCCATTTATAAACCTGTTCAGAAATTACCCTGTCTAGCAATAACCTGGAATAGAACAATTTAAAATATCCCCTAAATTTATCAGATCTGCGGTTTTTCTTCATCACCGCCTCTGGAGTGTCAAATTAACATCATTAAAAAAACAGGCATTACCTAACCTCAGCATTTGGCAATCTCTAATTCTACAAAGACTGTCGATAACTTCATAGTGAAAAGCCAGTAGTTTAATTCCCCACACAAAACGAGAGAACGGTTCTGCAAGTTTCCCTCCGCCTGTTGCCTGAAGATTCCCCACAGTCGAAACGTTTCGTTTTCTCCTGTTCTGCGAGGGAAAAAAAGCCGCAGGTTTAGTAGCGTTCCCCAGCTAGCCTCGGATAACGGCACGAGTAGCTACACGGGCTTCAGTTTCTCTTTGCCTTCTCAAATGCAGGCGTGTAATTTACAACAGCCTCGGACAGACATGCAGAAACAAAGGAGACGAACATGAACACACCAGCTCGCGTACAGTAGGCGGAAAAGGACAGACATCTGACAGAATTAGGAGACGATTTAGATACCTTGCATGACGCCACGAGCTTTTCCCACGAGGAACATTAATATTCTCGGTTATGCAAATCTGCAGCAGTAACATCAGGGGACTCTGCTTTAAATACCACCTTGACTTCAGCGACAAGCCCCACCTGGTCGTGTGCTCCACCGATCTGCCGCGGCGTGTCCACTGGTCTCTGAAAACCAAGTTCTGTAGTGCACTGACTTCTACCGTACTCAGAGTCTACGTGTTACAGAACTTTGCTCTCAAAAACAAATTCGCAAAGATCCAACCCCCAACACACAAACTCCTCTCTTGGTTTCTTAAAGTCCCAACGCATTTCCAAATCTACAATGAACTATCCGTTACTTCTGCAAAACACGGTGACTTTTCGAGTTTTGAGAATACAAGTTAAGATGGGCTGCAGACAACTATCAAAACGTTTTCTTAAGTTAAAATCACTGTTCCGCAAGAGCGTGAAACCCCCAACTGTGCAGTTTACGAATTGACACGTCATTCTCACTGAGACTCAAAACTTAATACAGCAACAGCAAAGCGCGTTTGAGGAGCATTTCTGCGATATGCAAACAATCTTAACCTTCGAAATAATGTAACTATAGTATAATTGCTTGAGCAATAAGAAAAAAAAAACACCAAGCCCCTAAAGTAGCTGCTTCTTGAAGTCCTGTTTTCAAATTTCTAATTCAACAGACTGTGCAGCAATACCACCGCTTCGCAGGTTAATCGCTTCGGTAGTTACAAACAGAACATTAAATGATACACACCTCATTTTCAACCTTGTTAGAGGGAACACCATGCGAAATGTACATATACCTCCAGTTTACCTGCACAGCCGGTTTCTTTTGCCAGCAGGTAAAAAGCTATTTCAACTGCACGCGTGAATTATTCTCGCACATTGTGGTGTAACGTTCACAGTGCACACGCAAGTGCAATTAATTATACATACCTCTCTCTCCCAACACTGTTCTCGAAGAAACTTTACCTGCCAGCTGTGCTGAAACTCCCAGCTCCTTTTAAATTCTTCCATTTTGACTTCTGCCGACGTGGAAATTCTGGGTTTCCAGACGACCCACTGTTTGATTGGTTAGTGCGGCACGGGGTCGAAGGTCAGATTGGCTTCTGCAGCTGTGCGCTCGGGAGCAGCAGCTGCACGCCGGCCGGTTCTCTGCACCGGAGCAGGAGGAGGCCGGACAGCTGTGCTGCCATCAGGCAGGATGACGTCTTCCGCACGCACGGGCGCTCAAGGTCTGACGGTGTTTCTGTCGTCCTCCCACGGGGGGGAATAAAACATAATCGCCAGAGTTAGAAAAATGCGCCACCTTGCATTTACACGTGTGATCTCCATGCAGTGTAAATCATATGCACGCTAACAAGTGCTAACAGCAACGCAGCGGGCAGAGGGGTTATTTTCTCCATTTCTACGAATGCGAAAGCTGGGTAAGCATGATGCCCAGGTGACGCTTCTCATAGCCTGACCTAATGCAAGGTAATACACGCGGGTTAGCAAAGGCAAACAGCCAAACTGAAACGGGCGCCTCTGAGCTTGCTGAGGCTACGAGTGAAAAAAAAAACCCGAGGTGTTTATGTGACGCGTCATTTATGTCTTCTAGACAATCAGAGGAAGCGATATTAGGACAGACGTGTATAAAGGTAGGCGGTGATGTGTACAATGCACCATTAAGACCTCACTTGGGATGCTGTGTCCAGAGAAGAGCAACTGGAGGGAAGGTCCTTCACTGACAGGCTGAGGGAGCTGACTCCTCTGTCCGCGTGTTCAGAGTGAGGCTCCTCTCCCCCACGTCAGCCCTGAAACAGATTACAGGGCACGCACAGACAGGAGCTAGGATGGGCACAGCATTGGTGGGATACGGACGGTAGCGATTTAAACCAGTTTTAAATCTGAAGCACAGATCACGTCTATCCAAAGAGTGAGCAAAACAAAAGCTAGGAATCCGCATCCCAAATGGTTCAGAAGGACCCATTAGGGTCAATGTAAGGGAAAATAAAGCACTTCATAAAAAGATTAAAACCAACAGCATGCAGGTAAAGAAAAGGAGTACATCGGACTGTGAGCACGGGCTGCAAAGGAAATTAGAAAGAAAGGCCAAGAGAGAGCCAGAAAGGAATTTTGCAACGGAGGCTAAAACAAATACATTCTTTCTGTACATAAGCAGCTAAGCATACTTCAATGTTAAAGTAAACTGTATCCAAGACAAAAATGGTAAACGTCTAGATGATTATGAGTCTCACCCAGGACAGCTCTTCCCACTGTCCCCAAGACAGGAGTCTCACCCCGGACTGATCCTCCTACAGACCAATGAGTCTGACTTCTGTTACATACAGGGTAATGGAAATGAATCAAAGAACTAAACTGGAGGTTGACCATCATGGTAATAACATCCTAAGGAGTTGTCCTCAGGGATTTAGAAGAGATAAGTCTTGCCTGTCCATCTGGTTAGAGTGCTTTAAACAAGCAACAACAGTCACGAAAACACACAGAGCACGTGATATAGTATATTTGCATTTTCAGAAGGTTTTTGGTCGACATAAAAGGCTAATTCTCAAATTACGGGCAGAAGACATTAAGGGGAATGTGTGCAATTGGATTGAGAATTGGATAATAAATAGGAGAAGTAAAGTACAGATGAGAGGCAAATGTTCAAATTGGGGCGAAATAATTAGAGGGGGACCAGGGACCTGTACTAGGACCACTGCTGGTTTGTATGAATGACCGAGACTATGGGAAAGTTATCAGTAATTATTACAGTTATATTTACATAATCTATCATTCCAAATTGGGAAATGCAGCGCTTGAAGAGGCTACTTACGAAAGACTTTGATGCATATCTTGACACATCTCTTTCATCTTTCAGACAATTTGGGGAAAGAATAAAAAGGTAAACTGAATATTAGAAAATGTAGTTAAAAGTGTAGAATTTGAATGATTCTCATGTAAGTGATGTCATGTAAAATCTGTGTAACACACTAACAAGGTCTCAGTTACAGTACTGTTAACAGTTTTGGTCACCCTGTTCCATAAAGATATTGCCGCTCTGGAATCAGCAACCAGGTGCATTCTGGGACATCAAGGGAAGTTCTACCCTGACAGGATGAAGGAACTGAAGCCCTTTTAGTTGTGAACAGGGAGGACTATGGGAAACCTCTTACAAATATTCAGAATCTTCAAAAACATTGACAAAGCCAACCTAGCATGTTTCTTCAGAAACACAGACCAGAGGCCTCAAGTAGATACTGCAGTTAAAATGTGAATAGGGGGTTTAGGGGTTTAGGAGTCTGGAACAAGCTGCTCAGCCATGTGATTAAAGTCACGACAGGCTTTATTCAAGAAACAGATGGGCGAGATCCTTAGATCAATATCTACTAGCTACCAAACAAGCTAGCTGGGCTGAATGGCCTCCTCTGACTAGTAACCATTCGTACGTTTTTATGTTTTTTAGGCTTGAAAAGAGAAGATTGTGAGGGGTCCTGCTTCCAGTATTGAAAAATCAATAGACCCTAAGTCAGCCCTGTGGTTCTGTTTCACATGTATGTGGCTGTAGTTTCCACTGGTGTCCTGCAGTTTGTATTTCACTGTGGGTTCTGAAGAGGTCCAGTCTGTATCTGTGCCAGTGTTTTCTGCATACAGTACCACTTTTTCTTGTTTCTTGGAGATCCGATTTGTTCACAGTATTCTGGATGGGGTGTTAAGTGCATTGTTCAGTCCAGTTGACCATTGCATACCTTGATTTATACAATTTTAACATTTTGTTTGATCTTTTTTCGTCGCTTCCCTCCTTTGTCTGAAAGATAAAAAAGAGGCGTCTACACAAGCGCATCGTCTGAAAACATAATGAGATACACAGACGTGCACGACATGTCCTGTGTGTCGATAGCGGCAGGAGAATACATAGTGCATGCCAAGACTCACACAGGCACATCGCCGCCGTTTGACAGTACCAGCAAACCGATACAGAAAGACCCGCACGGCCCCATGGAACCGGTAGTCCCAGCTCCAAATTGTCACGCCCGAAAGCCCTCACTTGTGCCATGGGGAGAACTACATCTCCCGTGATGCTTCGCCCGCCGTGTAGCCGGAAGACTGGCATGGGGCCGGTCTGCGGCGCTTGCAGAGCTTTGCGCAAAGCCAGCCAGTCTCCTCCTCACGGGGCTGTGAGCGAGGGGGGTCCGCTTTCTGGGTTGAAGACCTTCATGTAAAGAGAAAGTAAAACTGCTAAGGGTACTGCAGGGCACGTTTTACCGGGTAACGTAACGTTTTGAGTGCTTTTCACTCTTTTACCGCCCCTTTAAGTTGCAATTGTGCGTTTCTGTGTTGAACCGGTTTGCAAACTGAAAGTGTCCTGCCGGCGCCGGCGCTGGCTTTGTCTGGCCGACAGCGTGCTCTTTTGTCTCAGCTCTTTGTTTCCGTTGAACTTCAAGCGCCTGACAGGTACCTTACAGCATCTTGTTGTCCGTTTCCTTTATTGTTGTGTGTGTATATATATATATTTTAAAATGCAATACGTCAAGAAATACTTCACGGAAGGACTGATCCAGTTTACGATTCTGTTGAGTTTGGTCGGAGTTCGGGTTGATGTCGACACCTACTTGAACGGCTACTTTTCACCGCTCCTGGAGACCGACGAGGGGCCGAGCTCAGCCTATATCCAGACCCCTTTCCACAGCTCGAGGGACACCTGGGAGGGTCACAGCCTGCACCCCAAGTGCCCCGACTTGGAGCAGTACTTCACCGCCCGCCGCCTGCTGACCGAGGTCAGAGCCCTCGGCACGCCTCGCTTCCCCACGCAGCTGAGCGCATGGCTGGTGCACTCCGTGTCCCGGGACTCCGACAGCGGCGCCGCCGGCGCGGCTCCAGACCCGCAGTCCGGGGGCAGCGGCGGTCCGGACCGAGGGGACAGCGCCGGACCGCCCCCCAGCCCCGCCTGCGAGCTGGCTGAAGAGGTAAGCGTGTCTCAGGCGCTGACCGCAGCCGCTCTCCCGACAGCCAGCCAGCCTGCCTGCCGCGCTGTGCACCTGCTGCAGGCCGGGGTCGCGGGGTTCAGGGACGGTCGCGTTACCTCGTGTGGCCGGCCACGCTGCGGGTCAATGCGTGGAGCCGGATTTCGGCTGTAACGCCTGTGCGCTACTGTGGCTCTTACTGTGCTCGACTTTTTTTTTCTCAGCTAAAATTGTTTTTAAGGTGTGCCCTTCCTCGGGATACGGTAGTCATCATTTCTCCACAGTGTCCGGCGTGTGTTGTGCAGGCATGTCTAGGTGTCTGTGTGGGCATATAATCTTCTACTCTTTAAGCGACATGCAAACGCCGGTCTTTCATAATCGACTTCCTAAGAGCTGAAATGCTTTAGCCAGTCTCGGGGGAAAAGCTCCCACGCTGCCCCCCAGCTCTTGTGCCCAGAGTCTGGCCTGCCTTTCAGTGGAAATTCCGGAACATGGGAGCGAGTTTCGGTCAGGAAGCGCTGTGCCCGGCAGGGGAGGTGTATTGTTTTACTTAGAATCGTCCCAGTTTTTTTTAGCTTTGTCTAAATGTGTTTGCAAGTTTGTAACAAAGCCGTGTGAAGTTTTTCTGGCCTATCCAGGAACTCAAGACTTTTGTTCTGGATTGGATGACTGGGCCGGTCCTGTGTCTTCCAGTGCCCTGGGCTGGGGGCACAGAGACCACAAGAGAGGAAGATAAATAGCTGGCCGTGTATACTGCCGAACACCGTACCAGGAACAGACTTTGGTTATTCAAACCTTCACCAGTTTGAAACCAGTTTCAGAGGTGGCCCTACAGGGCAGGCAAGTTTAAGTCATTTTTTTCGTCAGTTTGAGGTAAATAAAACTCCAGAGGCTCTGTGTGGGGCGAGTGCTGCTATGTTAGGGTAAACTGTTTGTTTCTCACCCTGCGGCTCTGTGCACTTTAGTTAGGCTGAAGTAAAGAGCACCAGAACAGATCTCCATGCTGCAGTGATGCAGAGTGCTGGTTTCCTGATTGTGACTTCTTTGTTATAAAGAGAAGCTTTTAGCCGAATCCAGTGCTTTGTGTGCCTCTGGTGTCCCCGAGCAGCAGCAGCCCAGCCTGACCGCGATCCCCATTGTCAACACCCGCCACAGGCAGAGCTGCCACCCCGCTCAGCCGTTTCGGAGCCTGAAGCCAGCAAGGGCCTTGTTTTCATGGCTGCTAGCTGTTGCCTCAGTGTCCTCTTCGTCACATCTGTCCAGGAGAGTAGGGCAGGCTGG